ACCGCTCCAGCATCGGTCTATATACCCTGTTCATGAGATCCATGAACATTGTTGTGACATTGGTTAGCCCAAACGACACCATCACAAACTAATAATGCCCATACCGAGTCCTGAAAGTTGTCTTCGGTATATCCTTATCACGAATCCTCATCTGATGGTACTCTGACTGAAGATCAATCTTGGAAAACCAAGACGCACCCTGCAGTTGATCGAACAAATCATCAATCCTCGGCAACAGATAATGTGTAACATCGTAAAAATTTGAACAATTTTTCACTTTTGAAAAACCATGAAATATAGTTTGCATTCACAAATAAAAACATTGTATCAACATTGTATCATTACAAAACCCCAAGATCAAAATGTTTAAACTCCAATGTGCGTGTGTACGAGTCATGCCGACGCCTTCCCGTGATCATCGCTAGTACCTGAAACACATAACACATAACACTGTAAGCATAAATGCTTAGTGAGTTCCCCAAAATACCACATATCGCACATAAGCCTTTCCAGGCCATAGGACCTTCCGATCCAAGTGTCTCAGGGGATTTCCATCCCATACTCTGTTGACCTTCTGGTCCGTATCATCTTGACCTTCCGGCCCACATCATGCTCATATCACATAACATATCACATATAACTTACATCCCATATACATCATACACATAAGACCCTTCGGTCACATATAATTACCCCATCGGGTAAGGCATAGTGAGAAGACTCACCTCAGACGTCTCGTAAATCTCTGACTCGGTAGAAGTATTGCCTAGCCTCCGCCTATTCACACAAAGTAAATACCCTCATAAACATAACACTCGAGGCTAGATTCGACCCTATGTTGTCACCCTCAGAAGGGTAAAAGACTATTTTACCCCCTTCTTGACTCAAGGACCCTATTGTTGACCAAACCCTAAAAGTCAACAAAAGTCAACATTCAACTTTGACCCAACTCGCCGAGTGCACTCCAGTGACTCGGCGAGTATACACATGTCCACTAACTCTCTGTCCCGCTTGGTACGTCGAGTCCTACCCTATGCTTGACGAGTCACTCCTGGCATGAATCGCGGGGCTACCCTGACTCAACTCGCTGAGTCTCAAGAACAACTCGGCGAGTACCGCCTTGAACTCCAGTCTTTTAACCCCCTTCTGACTCACTGAGTTATCCCCCAACTCGACAAGTCTACTCACTGAGTGATCTGCGTGGACCTTAACCCTACTCGTCGAGTCTCAAGAACAACTCGGCGAGTTCATGCCATGCACAGACTCTATTGACCTCCTGTGGCCAGATCTGTGCCCCTAATCCATAGATCTGACCTTCCTAAGCATAAATGTCACATAAAGTCTGAATCTTGATGCTTATAACTCAACCAATATGCATCAAATGGTGATTTTGTCCCAAATACCTTAACCCAAGGTCATGACCTCCATTGTTCTTCATAAATCTTGAAGAATAAGGCTCTTTGGACCTCTATGGGTCCAGGTACAAAGCCTCATCTCCAGAAGGGACTATTTGGACCTCAAATCAACTTAGTCAAGGGTACAAGAAACCCTAAAACCACATATCCTTCCCAAAACAGAAGAAGAGTCGAAATAATACCTCAAATGAATGATCTTAGCTTTTAGTTCACTCCTTGCTTCTCAAACGATCTGAGACTCTCTCTGGGGGGGGGGGGGGGTAGTAGCCGCAATGGACGGCCATAAGGGCCTTTAAATAGGTCCCAAGCCCTGGAAACTAGGGCTTCACTAAACAGCATGGACTCGCTGAGTCCACGAATGGACTCGCCGAGTCCGGACATGAACTAGAATGAACATCCGCGTCCCTACTCGGCGAGTCTTGGCGCCAACTCGCCGAGTTCCTCCTCAAACTCCAAAAATTAAATGAATAAATAATATACCTGGGAGTCCGGATGTTACATAATGGTTGTTCACCGTTATTTTGTTCAGCTCTCGGTATGCACACCATGTGTGATCCATCCTTCTTTTTCACAAACATGATCGGTGCTCCCCACGGGGAACTGTTCGGACGGATGAACCCTCGGTCTAGCAGCTCCTGAAGCTGCGTAGATAACTCCTGCATCTCAGCCGGTGCCAACTGATATGGTGCCTTTTCTATGAGGGCGACACCCGACACCAAATCCATGCGAAACGCCACCTGCCTCTCCGGAGGCACCCCTGGCAACTCTTTGGGAAATACATCCCGAAATTCCTGTACAACGGGCACACTGCCCACATCCATCACAGCCTCAACCCTCGTATCTGAGATATAAGCCAAAAATCCCATACATCTCTACTACAGAAATCTCCTAGCCCTCGTAGCTGAACAGAGAGTCGGCCCTTGCGAGGCCCTATCACCATGTATCACCAGTTCTCCCCCACTTGGAACGAACCCTCACCAATTAGCGCTCACAATCGATCATGGCCCTGTTGGCCCCTAGCCAATCCATCCCGACAATCACCTTCAACCATTGCAACGGTATCGGGAATAGGTTGACAAGAAACCTCTCACTAAGCACATTCAGGACACAATCCCGATACACCCTCGCAACACTAATGGTGTGTTCATATGCAATCTCTACCTCGAGTGGAGAATCCAGAGTTCCAAGCGCATCCCGGAACTTCTTGCTAAGTGCAAGAGATACGAACGATTAGGTAGCACCCAAATCAAACAAAACATGCACCGACATACCATTGACCAAAAAGGTCCCTATACAAGCATAATATACACATAAGTCATACAAATCATAAGGAGCAGAGAATAATAGATACGTACCAGCCACAACGTCTGGCGCTGCCCGAGCCTTCTTGGTGATCAACTGAAATGCGCGACTCTTCACCGCTGGAACATCTGCATTGGCAGGGCGGCCATCGGTAATCCTCAATGTGGCAGGCGCAGTCACCGCCACCGCTCCTCCCCCTCCCTGCAACCTCGGACAGTTGACCCGCTTATGGCCGGTCTGGTTGCAATGAAAACAAATCAAGCTCCTCGTGGGGCAGTCCCTGCTCAAGTGGCCTTTGTGACAACCCGATATTTCAACTGTATGTAACGACCTAAAAAGTCAAGTAGTTTAACCACGTTTGTTATAATGAAATTAACTTCGAAAATAAAATGTCCAAAAATCACTAATTAAATTACCTATTATGTTAGATGTCATTAAACTGTGATCGTATGTAAAAAGAACCCAAATCTGACTTCGTATAAGGAAGTTATGAATTTTCCAAGTTCGGCTTAGCAACGGACAGCTAAAAACTCGAAACAGAGATCGAGCGACTTTTGACCGGAATAACCTAAATGAGAATCGAAGGTCTCGACAATGGTTTTTCAACGGTAAAAAGTCTGGCAAAAACAGACGTCGGATAATGAAGTTTTGAATTTCTAATGAAATTTTCTTACCGCGACCTTTTAAAAATAAATAATAAAAATAATTTCAAAATTTGCCGACGAAATCTAAACGAAAGTTGTAGAGTGTAGTCTCACCTACGCGTGGATAAAATGAACGTCGAAAACTGAGTTCGTATGAAGAAGATATGAATTTTTGAAGTTTATTAAATAATAAAAATATAATTTTTATATTTAATTTCGGTATCATCCGAAGGCTGAGTCACGGGCCGAGTACGCCCAGCGTACACACGTACGCCCAGCGTACTCGAG